CCAAAATAATTTTTTTTTTTTTGTATGTAGTGGCTCATGAACAATAATCACGTTGTTTGGATTCGCTCAAACCAATTTGCTGAAATCAAAACACGGACAGTGAAAGAAGGGATTTGCCGTTGGCGCGAGTACTGCTCAATCTGAAGCAGGAGCGTAGATGATTCTGCTGGGTCCTAAAGCCTTCCACGAAAGGCTATGTTTTCCAAAAGTTTCTCATCCACACTGAAACATTGGAAAATGCTCAATTCTCCTTACAGCGCATACGTAAACCCTCATAAAAGCTCACTGAGATGACAGAACAATACATAATCAAGTTATCATGCAATTCTTCTGGCAGGATACATTTTATTTTGCAAAATATCTCACCATTCACTGATGCGTCAGGTCGCACTCACTCACCATTGCTTGGTCTAAAACTCAACTGCTCTCATGTTTTGCCACAGGACAGTAAATGTGAGTTAATTTTCTGTCATCTTTGCATAGGGTTAGGGTAAATGCGTCACATGACTACACTTACGTCATCGTTTTCAAATACCTCCGTTTTCACATTCTACACTACAATGCAAAAACGGCATTTTCAAATGTATCCACTTTGGAGAGCGTTTTCAAAAAGGTTTGTTTTCGTAGCTAAAAACGCCGTCTCAGTGTGGACGGAAGGCCAAAACAGAGAGAGAAAGATGCATTTTTAAACGAAAACGTATTAGTGTGGACAAGGCCAAATATATTGTTCAGATTAAACTATTTTGGGTTCACTTACATCATCTCATCAGAGTCTCCGCAACAATAACCTTGTTTTGCAAAAATTTTGGGTAACGCTTTAGATTACAGCACGGAAAGTACTGCGTAGTTAAAGCGATTTTACAGTGTAACTTTCTGTAATTATAGTGTATCTATAAAGTACTTGCATGTAAGTATAAGGGAACAATATGTAAAGTTTGGGAAATAAAGGGGTAACAACCAAAAAATTATACTGTAAGTATTATGGAACTAAAGGGTACTTATTCTACTATTATGATATATACAACAATCTAACATTTGGGAGCAATTTAGCGAGAACATACACTGCATACCGTTTTGAAATAATGGTGAACCAGTACATACTGTATAGGCTTTTTAAAAATTGCAGAGTACATATCAATGCATTTATACAGCAATCTTTTTAACAAAAGTGCACTGAACTAAAACCATTGCAACTTTTGCTTAAATATTGGGGAAAGATACTCTTGTTTCATGTAGTGGTGCTTGTTACCCTCTTGTTTCATGTAGTTACAGAGTAAGTACAATAAAAATACATACACAATCTGCCTCTGAAACCTTTTTTTCAAAGACAACTTAATTCAAAACAGATTTACAACACTTCTTTTTCGTTTAAAACTGCTTTTTTAAATTAACAATTTATTTCAAATGCTTAAGTCTTGACAGAAAGTAGCACGTTTTGTCCCCCCTTTTTTCTCTTGCTTTGCTTCTTCCTTTTGTTCCTCTTCTTTTTCTTTCTTTCCACTGACGAATCTGAAGAAGAAATCATTTCTCTTGCTATTCTGTATTTAGTATTAAAATAAAATGCAGTACACCCAGAAATACGTCCTCCCTATTGACTCATCTTTTACCCTCATGCCGTCCAAGATGTACATTATATAGATTACTCAAATTAATGTGTTGGTATTGCAGTGGTTTTTAAATGGTTCACTTTCATCCGATTTCTTTGAACCTTGGGTTTTATTTTAGGGTGAAAACTGCATGATACACAAACGGTACATTCATTTATTGCACTTTTTATTACCAAGCTTTTTTTGTTTTTTATCGTGACAGTTTACAGCAGGAAATGGAAATGCCATTTAAAAGCTGGGTGCAGCTGTCCCATTTTCAACAACCTTTGTGTGATGCATTTAGATATAAATGAAGCAAGGGTCTTTTTTATGCAATAGTACTAAGCAGATCTGTTCTTTCTTTACAATGTTAGTGTAAAGAATGTTGTTATTCTTATGTACTTCGTTAATCTTTGATATTTCTTCATTTTATTTTGGCATGAAAGTCAATTCATTTAATAAGTTTTGAAATCCTAAATTTGTGTTTGCAAATATTTGTGATGGATTGGAAGTTGGAAAAACTAAGCCATTTGTCCTTCCGCTCACCTGAGCACGAGCAGAAATGCTGAAACACAGCAGTCGCATACAGAGCTCGCCTCACTCACAGCACTCCATTCAAACAGAAAGAGCTGTGGTGACCAGGTAACAACAGAAAAACAAACATCATCTGGAGTTCTTTCACTCGAATAAATAAACTTGATGTTTTTTTTTGTATCTGGCTTTAAATAATTGCAAATATATTGTCAAATATATAAACAAGGTATGCAAAGAGTGCTACGTGGGTATAAAAAAATGTTTAAGTGCTTTTAACGTTAGGAATGTTCAGCTTAATCTTTAAGTGCTTTGAACTTGTATTAAGTCATTAAACAAATTTGATTTAATTGAGATTTTGATTTAATTCTCAATAAATAATGAAAACTGATATACTTTACTGTTTACTTATTTATAATGATTGCTTGCAAATATAAATGTGAAATGTCTTTAATCACCAATTAGAAAGCACACAAAATGTGTACATGAATATAATATTGTACATCAAACATACAGTGATATTGGCTTTGATACTCATGGCTTTGATATCATCCACCCATAACATTCAAGCACAGGCGCACCAGCTTTGCCATTAATGAGGTCAAACAGCATTGGTCCTCACAACTGTCATGACTGATCTCTTCAAACATTCATTACTTGTTGAATGGTTAAACTATAGTGTTAAATCACATCCACAATGAGCAAATAAGGTGGCTACATTCTTAGAGAAAATGTAGAAACCTTCGAGTTCTTGAATCACTTTTAAAGAACCCTTTATGCCAAGAGGAGAATCGTTTTACATGATTGCATAATACTTTCATGTTTAGTGGGTTATTTCATTTTTTTTTTTCTGATAAAGTTTTATGAGCTGTTTAATTCATAAAATGTAATGGTAACACTTTACAACTAGATAAAAAAGTTTGTAGACAAACTTTAAGTTGGCTTGAAAAAGCCTAGCCAGAAATTTTAAAGAACTTTTTCTAACACTTTAAAAGCATAGTTCAGCATAACTCCCAGAATTGTTTATCAACATTTTTAAAAATGAAAATGATACAAGTTAATGACAGAATTTTCTTTTGGGGGGAAACAATCCCTTTATTGTCATCAAGCTGAGATTCCAGTGCTCCTGTTTGATTAAAGATAATTCAAACATGTGTGTGAATCTCACAAAAATAATTAAGCCTTAATGTGAGGTTTTATGCGTATATCCCTATCAAATCAACCGCAAACACAACAATATTTTAGTCAACATATATTTCTCATGGTTAAGATTGAAATCTATGGCTGTCAACTAATCAGTTGATTTTTTTTAATGATTATTTGAATCTGGAGTTCACAATAAATGTACCTTTTGGCGCTTTTCCACTGCTGGTACGGCTCGGTTCGGCTCGGTACGGTTCGACTCGGCGCGGAACGGTTCGGCTCGCATCGCTTTTCCACTGCGTGGTACGACTCGACTCGGTACGGCACGGTTCGGTTCGCTTTAGCTCGGTTGCTTTTCCACCGCAGTTAGTACCTCTTCAAAGTGGGTGGGACTGATCGTTATTTTGTCCCTACACTGTTGTAGGTCCGGTGATAGCCGTGTGCGGCTAAGAGCTACTTCTTGGAACACTTTTTCAGTCCGTTTTGCCCTATCCAGCTCTCGCTAGATCCGCTCCTCGGCAACCAACGAGAGGAACGTCTGCACCTCGTCCACTGACCACGATTCAGCCATTTCTTTTTAAAGTTTAAAAAACAGATGCTACCGCGTTGGCTGTTGTCCGCGGTTTAGTGTCCAATGACGCTGGTAGTGACGATTCTGTCTGACCAATCAGTGATCTGCAGTGTTTTTACGTCACATTTTAGTACCGGTACGGTACGCTTGGAACCTCAACAGACCAGGTACCATTTAAAGCGAGCCGAAGCGAGCCGTACCGTACCGGACCATGCAGTGGAAAAGCACCACAAGTGAGCCGTACCGAACCGAACCGTACCGTACTATGCAGTGGAAAAGCGCCAAAGCGTGCCGTACCGAACCGAACCGTACCGTACTATGCAGTGGAAAAGCGCCATTTATCTTACCTTTTGCATATTCAGTGCGTCACTGCGTCCATATAATTATTAAGCAAATTGCATAACTATTCACACACTGTACTTACCTGGACTCCATTCACTTACCTTACTCTACTGTATAATTAAGAGATTTGACAAGATACTTATCCTGCAGATGGTCATGACGTCATCAGCTGTGTATATGTCACAAACACATCACCCTCACAGTGTAACAGTACACAACCTATTTTCCCACTATGTAAATATTGGTAGGCCTATAGTCCTTTTATAGTTTTTCATTGCTGCTCCTTCAACTCCTTCTGACAGAACAAAGTAGTTAAATACGTCCCCAAATACGTCCTTCTGGTTACCTCTGGCCACTTCTTCTTATTGTCTATCCACGTTAACAATGACGATGGATGGGACATGAGACCATCTGATCGTCGTACGAAGTTTGTTTCGTGCTCCCAATTTAAAACATTTACGGCATTAACATTATTTGTCATTTCGCTAAAGCTAGCTACAAACAATCTTCTAACTACTGAACTAGCTACCGGATGTGCCGTGTCAGTTTAGCGGAAGTCGGATGACAAAATGAGGAAGAGCAAAGTTTTAAAAGTGGGCGGAGCGCAATAAGGTGAATAGGAAAAAAGTCAGTTGGGCCCATCAACTGTTTGGTTACATACATTCTTTAAAATATCTTAGTTTGTGTTCAGCAGAAATTCATACAGGTTTGGAACAACTTGAGGGTGAGTACATGATGACAGAATTGTTATTTTTGGGTGAGCTATACCTTTAAAGATTCCTGTCGCGCGTGTGTGACGCAACGCGGAAATCTTTTCGTGGTCGCACGTTTGTGACGTATCACGGAAAACAGTGACGTTTGTGCATTTCTGTATTTACCATAGACTGCTGTTATTTTTAATAGTAGGCTATCATGTTTATGATTTCAACCATGTTTGTCAGGCAATGAAAGTTCTGTTTATGGCCACTTCCTTTTAAAGACATCAAAGAGCGGAGCGCGAGCGGCTGTTTGATCATCAGAATACCAGGTAACGTTAACTTACACAAAAGATGATCGATTGGTTGTCATTAGATCATCTTATCTAATCCACAGTCATTTCTTATCAGACTAATCTCATGCTGGAAATGGAACTTTATGATTTCTCATCGTTTTGATTTCCTAATAAGTAGCCCGATGATTGACGGCAGCTCTCAGTGTAGTTCGGTTACTAACTTCAGCTGATGAAAAAAAGACACACTTTTCCACATATGACATTTGAAATTTACACATGCATGTCATTAACTATGTCCGATAGATTTTAAGTCAGATAAACTAAAAGCTCACGAAGGCAGATGTTACACATATGTTAGGTTAATGTAACAATAAATTAAATCGCACTATAATGTTCTCGAATGAATTCATACGTTACTGCACTAGGCTAGTACAAATGTCAAAACACATCCAGAATGAACTAGACTTTCCATCACGAAGACAGGCTTGAACAGTAAAATATGATTCTATGTAAACACAGAGGGGAAAAGACAAAGATCCTATGAAAAACACATAACTTAACGTTAGGCGTATTATAATAAACTCCTAGCGCCAGAGAGACACTTTATAATGATTTAATAATGTAATAGATAAATCAAACAAATAAAATAGTTTTACTGTGTAAAACACACCCTGAGTAGTTTGGCATAATGTTTTATTAGCAATCGAGTCTATTTATTTTCTCTGTAATTTTCGTTTAGTATTCACGATTTAGAATATCAAACTGCCAATTGTATTCTTTTGAATTATGATTTTAGTGTTCCATGTATTCTATGTATTACATGCAGATTTGAACCATCAGCTTTCTACAACACCTCTCAACACTGCTGTACTCAAGCATGTGACTGGCCGAGCAAAATTTGACATTTAAGTGGATGTATAATAAGTATCTCCCAAATTGATACAATTATTTGGTAGTCTTGTGGTGACAAACCTTTTTTAAAAATGTACATACCATCTGAATGTAAAAATTTAACCAAAAGCCACAAATTTACAGCAATGATAATTTTTAACCTACAAAAATCTTGGAATCTTGGAAATTTTTTAAGGAAATTTGCATTCAAAATCCACGTGCCTCTTCAGACTGAGTGGGCACAGCACTTGACAGGTGGTGACCAAAAATTCCCACTGGGATAATGGGCTTGTTTGTTATTGGTCCTTTGATGCTGACACTTCCTATCATTGCGAAGCATAATTCTCCAATATACGGAGGTATACCGTATTATAAAATGTAAACATTGATGAAATGTGTAGTATTGAAACAGAAGCACTCTCAGAAATGCCCTTTTCACCTCTACAGTAGCCTATCTCGTGTGAATTGTCTCACATGTGTTTGTTTGTGAACCGTTCAGTGTTGGATCAGGTTTATTTGCGGTGATGGCTATCCTGTTTGCGGTGGTGGCTCGAGGATCGACCATTTTGGCTAAACATGCGTGCTTCTCTGGCAACTTTCTGGAGGTGACGGAACAGATTCTGGCCAAGATCCCATCGGAAAACAACAAGCTCACGTATTCTCACGGCAGGTACGACTGACATTGTGCTGTTCGGCTAATGTTTAGTGACGTTTGTCTGTTCTGATGTTCTGATGCGCTTCCAGCTATCTCTTCCACTACATCTGCCACGAGAGGATCATCTATCTGTGCATCACTGATGACGTAAGTGTCTGCCTCGTGAGCTCTGTTCCTCTGCGGCTCCGCTCATATACTGAGCTGTCCGTCTCTCTTGCAGGAGTTTGAGCGCTCCCGTGCGTTCGGCTTCCTCAATGAGGTGAAGAAGAGATTTCAGACCACCTACGGCTCGCGAGCTCAGACCGCGCTGCCCTACGCCATGAACAGTGAGTTTTCCAGCACGCTGGCTGCACAAATGGTACGTGCGTCTGCCGTATTTATAAACACAATTGCCTGTTCATACTCTTTTATGTTTGTCTGTGTGGTAAGACACAAAATGAGGTTTAGCTGATCAACAGTGTTGCCAAACTCTTCCCTCTGAAAAGCTCTAAGAACCACCCTCAAAAGTGTCAGTATTTCACAAAAACATCCTACATATACAGTAGTAAACAGATAAACAGAGCCAAACATCAAATGTGTACTTTAACTGTACAGTTTGAGAACTGTTACCTCTAATGTAATTTCTTAGCATAAAGAATGGATTTGTCGCCATTGCGACAAATCATGGTGATCTGAAGTACACGGCTTCTGTCAACCAGCTTACTCAGAAAGCCTGATCTGGAGGCTATCGAAATGATTAAATGTGTAGCAAAAATGAATTCAATGAAAGCTGTTTTATTCAATCAAATCTTTATTAGAGACGCAGGGTCCAGATTTTAAACACATAACCAACAAACAAACAAACAAACAAACAAACAAAAAAACATATATATATATATATATATATATATATATATACATCAATACGTTACAAAAATACAAAAGTACCAGTGTTTCCACAACTTAGACGGATAATGTGTAGAACTAAACCTTATATTTCATAGGCCCATGATTACCTCATTTTTAGAAGCATTAAGTCGGCAGACAAATCTGTACATAAGATTCCGTAACACATCCTTATCAGACAATTTAAAAATTGGAAGATTTAAACTCCTGTCCTTCGTTCTACAAATCAACACAACACTCTTACTAGCATTATATAAAATATCATGCTCAAGACCATAAACAGAACAAATGGTTAAAGGATTAGTTCACTTTTAAAAAAACTTTTGCTGATAATTTACTCACCCCCATGTCATCCAAGATGTCCATGTCTTTCTTTCTTCAGTCGAAAAGAAATTAAGGTTTTTGATGAAAACATTCCAGGATTTTTCTCCATATAATGCACTTTACTGGCTACCAAACGGTTCAAGGTCCAAATGACAGTTTCAGTGCAAACTGCAAACTGTTCAAATGGTTTTAAATGACACCAGACGATGAATAAGGGTCTTATCAAGCGAAACAATCGCTCATTTAAAAAAAAAAAAAAAAAAGTTTAAGTTTTATAAGCTCACATGCTCGCGTCGCTCTGTTCTGTGTGACTCTCCTGTTCGAACTCGTTCATCAAAATGAACAAATCTTTTTCCGAGTCAATTCGTTCATTTCGGTCGTTAAATGAATCAAATGACTCGTAAAAAGATTTGTTCATTTTGATGAACGAGCCTTATTCATCGTCTGGTGTCATTTAAAACCATTTGAACAGTTTGCAGTTTGCACTGAAACTGTCATTTGGACCTTGAACCGTTTGGTAGCCTGTAAAGTGCATTATATGGAGAAAAATCCTGGAATGTTTTCATCAAAAACCTTAATTTCTTTTCGACTGAAGAAAGAAAGACATGGACATCTTGGATGACATGGGGGTGAGTAAATTATCAGCAAAAGTTTTTTTAAAAGTGAACTAATCCTTTAACAGCTGTTGGAGACCAGCACTACTAGGGCTAAAAAACACAAGATCATCTGCATACATCACCAACAACGTTCACTAACATGTTCCCAACCATACAACCAGTTTCACACGCATTCAAGCATTTAGATAAGTCATCCATGTAAAGATTAAAAAGAACAGGGGACAAGATTCCTCCTTGTCGCACACCATTACTAACCCCAAAAGGTGCAGAAACTTTAATGCCCCATTTTACTCGCATCATCTGGTGGGCATACCAATAAGCCAAAATTCTCACAATATATTCTGGCACCCCTCTTTGTCTCATTTTTACAAATAACTTTACATGGTTAACCTGATCAAAAGCTTTAGATGCATCAATAAAACACATCAAAACTGATGAGTTTTTATCTCTATACTATTCCTTCAAGGCATAGATGCATAGATCGGTACCGTGTTTAGCTTTAAAACCAAACTGGCTATCTGTAGAATTGATGAACACATTTATCCTATCCAGCTAAATTTTCTCTAATACTTTAGACAAAATACTGGCTACAGCTTTGGGCCTGTAATTATCTAAGCTACCCACCATTCCGGCTTTATCCTTAACAACTGGTACTAACAAAACAGACAACATTGAATCTGGTAACACACCATGAATCATAAAACCAGAGAAACAGAGAGCTAAAAGGGGAGCTAACCTCTTACTACCATATTTAAGATGTTCAGCGGAAATATGATCTAGGCCACTTGCTTTGTTGTCAGACAATTTGCTTATAGCTTGGTACACCTCATGTGACATAATCATTATCGTATCATTATTTTCAATGTGGTCAACATTATATAATTTTGCACACAATTAAAAAGATTACAATAATGCTGTCTACATAACTCTCATCCATAACTCATCCTTAGATAAATAAATCTTACTCAAGGATCTTACTGTACCACCTAAAGGATTATTAGAACACCATACTAATACTGTGTTTGACCCCCTTTCGCCTTCACAACTGCCTTAATTCTACGTGGCATTGATTGAACAAAGTGCTGAAAGCATTCTTTAGAAATGTTGGCCCATATTGATAGGATAGCATCTTGCAGTTGATTGAGATTTGTGGGATGCACATCCAGGGCACGAAGCTCCCGTTCCACCACATCCCAAAGATGCTCTATTGGGTTGAGATCTGGTGACTGTGGGGGCCATTTTAGTACAGTGAAATGCTCATTGTGATGTTCAAGAAACCAATTTGAAATGATTCGAGCTTTGTGACATGGTGCATTATCCTGCTGGAAGTAGCCATCAGAGGATGGGTACATGGTGGCCATAAAGGGATGGACATGGTCAGAAACAATGCTCAGGTAGGCCGTGGCATTTAAACGATGCCCAATTGGCACTAAGGGGCCTAAAGTGTGCCAAGAAAACATCCCCCACACCATTACACCACCACCACCAGCCTGCACAGTGGTAACAAGGCATGATGGATCCATGTTCTTATTCTGTTTACCCCAAATTTTGACTCTACCATCTGAATGTCTCAACAGAAATCGAGACTCATCAGACCAGGCAACATTTTTCCAGTCTTCAACTGTCCAATTTTAGTGAGCTCTTGCAAATTGTAGCCTCTTTTTCCTATTTGTAGTGGAGATGAGTGGTACCCGGTGGGGTCTTCTGCTGTTGTAGCCCATCCGCCTCAAGGTTGTGCGTGTTGTGGCTTCACAAATGCTTTGCTGCATACCTCGGTTGTAACGAGTGGTTATTTCAGTCAAAGTTGCTCTTCTATCAGCTTGAATCAGTCGGCCCATTCTCCTCTGACCTCTAGCATCAACAAAGCATTTTCGCCCACAGGACTGCCACATACTGGATGTTTTTCCCTTTTCACACCATTCTTTGTAAACCCTAGAAATGGTTGGGCGTGAAAATCCCAGTAACTGAGCAGATTGTGAAATACTCAGACCGGCCCGTCTGGCACCAACAACCATGGCACGCTCGAAATTGCTTAAATCACCTTTCTTTCCCATTCTGACATTCAGTTTGGAGTTCAGGAGATTGTCTTGACCTGGACCACACCCCTAAATGAATTGAAGCAATTGCCATGTGATTGGTTGATTAGATGATTGCATTAATGAGAAATTGAACAGGTGTTCCTAATAATCCTTTAGGTGAGTGTAGATCAGTTGTTACTGTGTCATATAAAATACTCATACCCCTCAAAGAGGCATGTGCATCAGCTGTACTGATACAATGATCTAACCAAGATGTAGTATTCCAAGCCTCGCCAATATAAGTATAGCTATCTACAGGCAACATCACTTCACTTGACAATCTGAGATTAGTATCCTGACAGAATTGGACAATATGTTTACAAAACAATGATTTTTTGTCTGAAATGTCAGCATTCATATCCCCAATTGCAAATACATTAGAAATATAATTACTTTCAATAAAAGAATGAATAAAGGCTAACCTATTTAAATACTCATCTTCATTATGGTGACATTCATAAGGTGTATATACATTTAGGATAATAAATTCCTTATCCTGATGGGAAATCTGTATTGCTATACCCCAGCTGACACCAAGTCTAACCACCTTTACAAGTGGTTTCACACCTTTTTTCTTCCACAATATAGCCACACCCCGGGTATCCTACCTCTAATTATACCAGTACCACTATCTGTTGTGGATTCACCAACACCATGAAAATTGACATTAAAAGAGTTCGGTTTTTCCAACTCTTGCACAGCTAAAAATGTATTTTAACCCCATCACTCTGGCCCACACGCAAACCACGACAGTTGTATGACATGACCCGAATGTCCATGGGGGTCTCTAATGAATGATCATACTACCACGAAAGGCACACGCATATCCCCAGCAGCCGGTACAGTGTGAGACCCGATCACTCCCGCCCTGCGCGGCTCATAATAGCGTCTAACAAATGCCCCTTCAGGCCAGAGGTCTTACATTTCACTGACCTCATTAATTCCTTATTCCTTAAGCCCTTATTGTTCCATTTAATTCTGGGTTTTCCATTTTCTGCATTCTCTACATTCTCTTTTAATGGTTTATTTAAATTTTAAACGCATAAAAAACAAGTTTAATCAATTGCGTTTATTAAAGCATTATCAATGTAGTAATTTATGAAAATTGAACAATAGTAGGGCCCTATGAAATCTGTTTTATTTGATTTTTAATAGCATCATAACAACTAAACGTCCTTGAAACATCAGTCATTTTAAACAATGTCACTTACAAATTAGAACTAAAATGTTTTTGCAACCATGTATAAATGAAAATGCATATTTTTCAAATTAAAGGGAACTTACAGAATCGGTATGAGCTGCTAAAAACTTTAGCTGGACAATACTTTATTCTTTAGAGCTGCTGTAAAGCCAAAACAATCTCTGTTACTTTAATTTCCTATTATCACTGTAAAGCTGCTTTGAAACAATCGATATTGTTAAAAGCGCTGCATAAATGAAGGTGACTTGACTTG